CTATCTATATATATATATATATATATATAAATAAATTATAAGTACCCCCAGTACCAACAGTTTTCAGACACACGGAGTACAAAAAACAATGAAGCACTGTAAAACTTCAAATAAAAACTCAGTTTTCTCCAAATTTCAGTTGTGTTGATGTACCCCCCAGACTTCTCTCAAATACTCCTAAGGGTACTTATACTACTGGTTGAGAAACACTGTTCTATTGCATATGGTGAATTTCACTGCTCAAATTGAGTCTTCTGATAGCCCTCACCTTGACCCCTTTTTGACACCAAAAGTTACATGACCTCAGGAGGGGAGACTGAATCTTGAATGTGCTTGAGCCACACTGCCCTGGGCAGGTGGGGCCAAAACTGAAGCCCAAGGGTGTCAGCATCAATCAATGGGGTGCAGGTTTCAGCTTTGGTCATGTGACACACCTGTGCCTGGTAACCGTCAGTGAAATTAGCCTGTTATTTCCCATTACATTGGATAGCAACTCTGTACCTTGTACTCCTGGGCAGCTTCCTGTATAGGCACCATCATGTGAGCCTGGGATCTGTCACAGAGCACACAGATGAGAGTTTGATCTTCTTCACAGAACAGCTTCAGAGCCTCCTGGTGCTTCCCACATATCCCATCCTATCTTGATCATTTTGCTGGCAAGATACACAGGGGCTTGGCCAGTTCTATTACGTTTGCCAGCCGCTGATTGGGCTAGAGGGTTCCCTGCTGCTCAATGACTCTGCACTGAGGACTGATGGGGGCCTGGCAGAAATTGTGCCCACACTCCAAAGTGACAAGGGCTGCGAAATCCTCCAGACAGACCGGACGCGTGTCGCTTTCTCCCAGAGACTTTCCACAGGGCTCTCTGCAGCCATGGCTGCCTCTGGGCTGGGGAACAGGGGCCATGTCACTTTCCTGAGCTCAGCAATCGAGGGGCAGGTCTGGTGGGCGGGTGCATGAGGTACCAGCACTGAGAATACAAAATAATCAAAATTAAAAACCAAAAAGTCCCCAAAGCTTTTTTCCCCCCGGGGCCATGTCACTTTCCTGAGCTCAGCAATCGAGGGGCAGGTCTGGTGGGCGGGTGCATGAGGTACCAGCACTGAGAATACAAAATAATCAAAATTAAAAACTAAAAAGTCCCCAAAGCTTTGTTCACCCCATGCCCTCGCTAGGGCCCCTCAGCCACCTGTCCCAGCCAGAGCCCGCCTCTCCCGTCCCTGCGCCCCTCATGCCGGGGCCCCTCCCCCCGCACACTCTGCAGTCCCCTCTCACAGCCCCTCTGTGCGCCCCCAGTCCGCATCCCCCAGGCCGGCAGGAGCATCAGGGAGCGGCCGCCCAGCCCCCCCAAAGGCCCCGCGCGCCG